ATCGCGGCTTTCCCGAATGCCGAAATTCACGGTTGCTTATTCCATTTGGTAAAAAGTAGTGAAGAAAAAGCTATCGTCCTTGAATCTCCTGAAACGCTACAATGCAGATTCGAATTTCTCGCTCTGGTCTCGGATGATTCCGGCGATGGCCTTCGTGAGAGAAGATCTCCTTGACAGATCAATGATGGCTCTTCTGGAAGTTTTACCAGAAGAGTTGAAACCCGTCCACACTTACTTCGAGCTTACGTATGTGGGTCGCATACTCAGCGTTCGCCTAGATGGGTCAGTCATCAGGGACAATCCGCTCTTCAGCTCCGATGTGTGGTCGGTCCATGAAAAGACTCTGAACGGTGAGAGCCGCACCAACAACTTCGCCGGAGCTGCTCATCGAAAACTCCAGGAGGCTTTCGGCGTCTGTCATCCTTCCGTCTGGAAGTTCATCGATGGTCTCCGGCATGTGCAGCACATGGCAGACGCCGAGCTCGAGCGATACAATGTAGGATCTGCGCCGGCTCCAAAAAGACGCAGATATCTGAATCGAGAGCCGGTGGCCTTTCTGCGAGGGATCGCAAACAATTTCCTCATGGAAAACTAGAAAAATCTTGTGATTCTAGTGTCTTGATCCACCGTTGTCCTCCCATCTATCACTTCCATCCTTGTGAAAAATACATAATGAGCTAAACTAATCCTCACGGGAGTCTCACTGGAAACCATCCTCCCTTCTAACCAGTTCTCTATCGGTTTGCGAACCTTCCTTGCTTGTGAGAAACATGATAAAATTACGTGAGATGACTTGACCTGGGATCCCTGTGTTTTTTTTTATGGGTAATAAAGATTTATTCGAGATGTTTGCAAGGGACGTCAGCGAGTATATATAGTGATTGAATGTGTCAGCCGACTCCATCCAGTCTGTCCACGGTCGGCAGTGATCCGCTAACCGCTGCGCCGTTTCCCCTTTGGACCTCGATGGAAACCCTCTGAAGCAAGAACTTAGTTGCCCGCCTATCCCCGGTTGCCACCTCGATGCGTTTCCCCGAGTCGCGCAGGAAGAACTCCGTAGACTTGCCCATGACACCAAGGGTCTCTAGGGCGACGGGTTGGACGATGAAGCGGCTTTCAAGTTCGCGATATTTCAACAGCTTGCTCCTATCCGCGAGGCTCGCAATCGCCCCTTCCGAAGGAGCAGCCCTGGGTCGATGCGATGGGGCCAAGGTACCCCATACGGTAGAGTCCCAAACGAGCGCTTTCCCGGAGCTCCACAGCGATAGCGTAAGTCCATCCGGACGGAGGGCAGAATTTCTTGACAGGCCCGACGGCTCGAGCTCGTTGGCGATCGCGACAGAGCGGAGAGCGCGGGATCTGACGGTGTTGAGCGCCCTGTGTCGGGAATGGCGGCCGCTGCTTCGAGCGCAGCTTAGTCCACGTTCGCCCAAGACGGAAACTGAGGAGTTGCATCTAGCGCAGAGGTGAGGCGCGCAGATCGGAACACCGAGTCGCAGACCAGCAGCGATGCGGAGTGTGTTCTTGTCCAGCATCGTGCCGTTGGGCGAGGAAGGGATGGCGAAAAGCCATTTGCCACTGCTTGGATGGAAGACGGCGTTTAGACGAGCGCTCTCTCGATCTCCGGATGCGTCGCGGGACAGCTCTGACCGTCGTGTCGCTATGACCGCTCTGTCCAAGGTTGTCTGGGAAATTTCATCGGGGATCCCGTTCCAACGATTCTGGAAAGTCTGCGACAGGCGCTCGATCCGGGCTCTTAGGTGGGCGGCGACGTCCGGGGGCGAGAAGCTCGCGGCTAACTCTTTGAACTGACTCAACGAACCCAAGTGGGCGCTGGCTGCTAAGTCGACCGTCGATCGGACCCCGAGGCCCCCGGCAGCGACTGGTGGGGACGCCTGCTTCCAAGTGTTGGCGTCACTCAGATCGAGGTTGAGGACTCACTGTCGGAGCTTATCGTCTGCTCGCTGCAGGAGGTCACAGAAAGCATCGGTGTCAGCGCATCGGAGAACGTAGAGTTGACGTGGAGCGGAGAGACTGCATCGGACCAGGTAGAGTGCCGGATGAGCCTAAAGAATAGGGAGCCTCGAGCACCACAGATCTATCAGAGCCTGCTCCTTCATCAGAACTCCCTCGACAGAACGAGCACTCAACGGTGCACCTAGCAGCTCCTGTTCCGGTTCGGCCAACAGGCGGGCGTTCGGAAACAGCCGTCGAACTCCCTGAAGGCGCTCCGAGCGCGACTCGGCGATCTCAGACAGAACGATCAGCTCGCACTTGGCGTCGTTAAGCGCCAGGCCCGATAAAGACGCGAAATCCTTCACTCTCTGGACGTCAGCAGTCACGGACTCTAGTGAGCCACCGAGCACGCCGTCGTTCAGGAACCAGGGCTCGAACTCCGATTCCAAGGTAGATAGCAGGCGATGGAAAGCGACACAGAAGAGAGCGGGGCCCCACGGATCGCCTTGTTGGACGCCGTTTCTTGAGAGAATGATTTGGTCTCCTCAGAAAAGTTTGGTCGGGAGTCGGTACGCCTGATGTATCATCGGGTGAAGTGCCGGGAAGTTAGTCTTGACCGAAGTGAGATCCCTCCGCAGGGCGTTGAAAGCGTTTGCGAAGTCAAGCTTGACGAAAACGTTCCCGGACTCTCTGTTGATCTCCAGATAGCTGGTAGCGGCATGTACCGCGGCCTCGCAGCCGCCCTCGACACCGATCCCTAGCTGTGTGGGAGCCACGAAGTCTCGGATGGACTCCTTGAATTTGCGAACAGCTGCCTTCCCAGCGAATCGAGGCAGAGTGTTGCCGACGGCAATCGGTCTGATGGCTCCGTCCTTCTTGCGAAGTGCCAGCAGGTTTGCGCCATAGAAAGTCTCTAGCGCGAAGTCCGGCACGCGGCCGTTGATCACCAGAGAGCAGAACCTCGTCAAGACTCCGATCAAAGAACAGAAGTCGTTGTCTTTCCGAATGAGATCTTTGAGGTAGCGTGGCCGTAGACCATCAGGGCCTCCGCTTGAGCTGTTGAGGAAGCTGAGGACGGCCGCTCTTATCAGGGTGTTTGGGGTATGTCAGGGTGCTTTGCCTCGAGGATCTGTCGCGTCGCGTCATCGAAAGGAGCTGACATGACGTCAGTCGAGAGAAGCGTTCGAGCGGCCGCGGAAACGTCACCCTGGGATAGTTTGAGCTGGACCAGACGAGCTGTTGAGCTTTCGCGAAAAGTGGTGACGGAGGGACGAGAACGAGCGTTCGCCGTCGGTCTGGGAGGGAGATCTTTCTCTCTGTGGAAGCGATTGAGATTCCCCCGTATGAGAGATGTGAGAGAGCGGCCACGAACTTTTGCAATCGGTATTGACAGTACAGAAGTAGTGAAGCAGTAGAAAGCGGACCATGCCGGCAGATCATTTGACGTGCACACCGCGTGGAGAACTTCAATCAGTTCTTCGGTCACGGTGGTTCTTATGCTGCGGGGAATGATGGAGACCAGTTTCGAGTGCATCTTCCGGATGAGGTTGATGCGTTTGATGACGGACTCAAGAGACTCGGGGGCGGGCAAGACGTTTGCCAGTGCGGCCGGAGCGGAGTGAGATGGGGAGGCAAGAGCCGCCCGGGAAGTTGAGGGCTGACTAGAAAATAATGAGTCGGCACGCGCAGCGCGTAGCGACGGGTGCATTCGACTGGTATGGATTCTAAGACCACGGACGTTCGCGGCCTCGAAAGAGCAGTGGGGACATGTAGTTTGTGCGTTCGAAGAGATCGGAGGTGAGAGATGTGGAGCGGGATCGCCATTCGATCCCACAGAAGAATTTCTATCGGTCATTGTCTGATTCTAGAGGAGCTGTCTCGCGAAGTGGAGTCTGAGGAGAGCTAGCACATCGACCCAGGTAACTAGAACGGTAGCATGGGGCGGAAACGCGCCGACGAGAACTCAAGCATCGGAGCCAGTGACTAGACCGAGAGTGCCCAAATGCACGAAATGCACGAGGTTCGGACACACAGCGAAAACGTGTAAGGACGTTAGAGTCATGACCTCGACGTATGGGTTCATTCCGGGAAATTTCTTCGATACGAAAGACGATGTGGGAATCAAGCAGGTTATGGTAGATGGAAAGGAATGGGGAACGAAGATAGACACTGAGGTGGACATCAGCGTGATTTCAGAGCAGTCGGCGGAGGGCTTGAAATTGGATATAGAGCCAAGCGCAGTGAATCAGGTTCGCGGAGTAGGCGGAAGCGGAATTAAACCGGTAGGCCAGGCGAAGGTTAATCTGGAAACCGATGGGCTGCAATTGACCGATGTCACGCTGGCAATTCTTCCGAATCAGGCTATGCCGTACGAGGAAATTCTGTTGGGAAAGGATCTTCTGGATAGGGGATATGTCACGGTTTACTGGGAGGGGCAATCCTGGACTTTGAAACCGGATAAATTCGAAGAAATCGCGACGATGCTCCCGAAAACAACACCGAAGGTACAGCTCAAGACGAAGGATACGGTCAATCTAGAGCCGCGTACGGTTGCGTTCATTAAGGCGGAACCGGTACGCAGGAAGGAGGGATGTCTCATTCTCGAGGATAGTCAGGATTATGGCGTCTTATGGCAAATTCAGGATGAGGAGGTAGTGATTCCCGTAGCGAACACAGGTAGCCAGGAACTCAGGTTAGAAGCAGGTACGGTTGTAGCGCGCGGAACGCCGATGGATGAGGAGGTGATCTACAGATTCAAGTGGAAAGAGGCGAGCGTCTGTCAAGTGTCTGTAGAAGAGCAGACAGCGGAGATGGCGCCGATGTTGACTTCACTATAGGAGAGGAGGTTCCGCAGGCGTACCGAACACGACTCCTCGCCTTGGTGAACAAGTATCGAGATGTCGTGGCGACGTCGATGAGAGAATTGGGGAGAACGGAATTGACCGAACTCGATATAGAGGGGATTAAGGATAGCCAGCCCGTGAGGGCGAAACCATATAGGCTGTCGGTCGTAGAGAGGCAAGCGTTACAAGAGATCACTCAGCAGACGCAAGAGGCAGGCATGATCAGCAGGTCGAACTCAGCGTATGCTAGTCCAGTACTCTTTTAGTCAAAAAGGCGGACGGTGGATGGCGAATGGTCATCGATTATCGCAGGCTGAATGCGCAGACAGTGAAGCAAAACTATCCATTGCCATTAATCGACGATATCCTTGACGAGGTCGGAGGGAGAAGTTTATACTCAACCTTCGATTTGGCGTGGGGCTACTTTCAAATTCCCATGAAGAAGAGAGCAGCGGAAAAGGCAGCTTTTGTCACATCCGAGGGACATTACGAACCTCGAGTGATGATGATGGAGCTATGTAATGCACCAGCGAAATTCCAGGAACTAATGGTCAGGGTTGAAGAAATGGTAGGCGGAAGGCAAACGTTTCCTTTTCTGGACGATATGATCACAGCATCGGATAAGATGGATGATCATCTCAGGCAAATTGAGGGAATCTTAGGGGCATTGATACAAGCAGGCCTCACAGTCAGGCTCCAGAAATGCAAATTCTTCATGAAGTCAGTACAGTTTTTGGGGTTCAAAATTTCCAAGGACGGAGTACAGCCTGGGACTAGGAAATTAGAGGCGGTAGAT